CCGAACCCTAAACCCTAAACCCTAAATCCCAAAAGTCTGAACCCTAAACCCTAAACCCTAAACCCTGAATCCCAAAAGTCCGAACCCTAAACCCTAAACCCTAAACCCTCAACCCTAAATCCCAAAAGTCCGAACCCTAAACCCTGAACCCTAAACCCTAAATCCCACAAGTCCGTGCCGCAGGCGCAAGAGTGCTACGACCGGGGGGCACAGCTCGTCGAGGAATCGCCGCGGTGTGGAGTTCATTGTTTAGGCTTTAGAGTTCAGGGTTTAGGGGCTTTGGGTTTAGGTTCATTCTTTACGTCGTAGGGTTTAGGGTTTAGGGTTTAGGGTTTAGGTTCATTGTTTAGGTCGTAGGGTTTAGGGTTTAGGGTTTAGGTTCATTGTTTAGGTCGTAGGGTTTCCTTTGCGTGGAGGACATGAGCTTTCGAGTAGTATAGGCGCCTAAAGAATTACCTATACTTTTGTTTTTTTTTTGGCGGGGGCAGTCCTTCTTATAGTTATAGTATCATGGGCCGCTAAACCCTATTCTAATTATTAAGGCTCCTATACGGGTTAGGGTTTAGGGTTTAGGGTGTCCAAGTTAAACTATAAGTTAATGATTAATGAGACACTCATGCCCCGTTCTAACAAATATGGCCCCGATATAACTTGGACTCTCTAAGCACATAAACCTCAAAGGCCTACACCATGTGCCCTGAACCCCAAAGCCCTACACCTAAAAGAAAAACCCTTGCAGCTTGAGTCAAGATCGCAGCTGTGTGCAGGACTTGGCGCCGTTGCCGCTGCGTTGCAAATAGAGATCTTTCATACATCTTGAGATTCGAGTTCATATAGTACATTTCAGTATATCAATGTGTCTTACAGTCTGTTGTAGTCCTGTAATTTAGCAGACTCCGGTAAATTAGGTTCTTAACAGAAGAAAGGTTCTTTCCTTTGGATCCTTATCTTGAGTCTTGAAATATGGAACTGAGGGTCTGAACTTTCAAACGGTTGCGACATCCCACGCCAAATTACGAACGATAGCCTAGAAGGCATAGGCCTTGAACAGAACACACTGAACCCGGTGGAGCCAGCCTTATTACATCCTCAACCCCGAAACAGCTATCAACTTATTTCATGCCCATCCTCTCTCAAATGGTGCGTCCTCTCATCATAGGCTTCCCCGGGTACATTGTATACAATATGACAGGGTATTATGCGAGTTTATGTGGTTATGATCCCTAAACCCTAAACCCTAAACCCTAAACCCTTTTTATACCTGTAAGTTTGGAGATGTAAAGGCCTCCAGATCAGACCAGGCTCAAGAAAGTCAGCCGGGCCGTGCAGCGGGACGCAGAGGGTGTGGCTCAGATGGCGATTGCTTTCGGTTAGTATCTTCGAGGTTTAGGGCTTATACGGTTTAGGGTTTAGGGTTTAGGGTTTGTGTGTTATAGGGTGTCCACTAGTGCAATAAGCTTCACCATGGTGCAGTGCTTGCGGTTGTGTTCCTTGATTCGGATCTGTTTCTGTTCTTCAACCTACACGTAGTTGTTCACGAGGTTTGGTCAGAAGATGCTGTCAACCTTGCGTCGTTTGAAACTCTTCCCGGGGTTTATCGTTCAGAACGTTTCATGGGCAGGTGTGCATGAAATAGCTCATGCTTGCACCCCGCCAGCATGAGAGCAAGTATCTGCTAAGTTTAGGGTTTAGGGTTGAGAGTTGAGGATTTAGGATTTAGGGTTAAGGGTTTAGGGTTTAGGGTTTAGGGCACGGAGATTGCCCCGAAAACTTGAGCCCCAGAAGAGTCCAGGTAGCAATATAGTAGCTGCTTAGTAGATTTGTACTGCCTTCGGCTAAGACGATGAAGCTTTCCAAGAATGTCCGTGTGGGACTGGAAGATGCAGAGGACAGTGGAACAATTGCTCATGAAGCCTTGGATTTCAATAGCTTTAGGGGCCGTGAACGGTTTAGGGTTTAGGGTCGATTTCTGTGTGTCGGGACTCTATAGTATTTCGGGGTTTAGGGTTCATTTTTACCTGAAGGGTCCAATCACTCATTTAGGAACCTCTTGAAAGTCAAAGCGCGTAGCAGGATCCTTATAAGGGTTCACTTCAGGGTCTTTGTTGTGCCTTTCACGGCGTTTAGCTCTAGGGCTGGTTCAGGGTTTGCGGAGCTGGGTTAACGGGTGCTTGCATCAGGGTCTAGGGGATACGAATACTTTCGCTGAAGCCCAGGTATCTTACAAGCTCCATTTTGTCGATGCTTCTAGAGAAACCCCAACATCACACAGCAAGAACCACCCTCAACCCCAAAACCTGAGCAGCAGGAACTGCAGCAAAGTTCTGAAATCCTCAAACCAAACGACACCGCCCTAGTGCCTGCTTTGGGGGGGCCTTCTTCGCCGACTTGACTGGCCGTCTAGCGGCTTAGGGGTTAGGGTTTAGGGTTTAGGGTTTAGGGTTTAGGGTTTAGGGTTAGGGGGCCGACTTGACTGATCTAACGTCTTAGGGTTTAGGGTTTATATAACGTACGGGGTAGTTGGCTCGACAGGACGGTGTGAAGGAGCTCGCCCAACAGCTCTTTGCCTCTATGATTCAGGGTACAGGGCTTAAACCCTAAACCCCCTAAGCCCTAACTACTTGCGACGGCTCTTCCCAACCTAGGAATGAGGGATCACGCCCTGAATCTACCCTACCTAGACCCCACAAGGATGTAGAATAACAGCCTTTTATGGGTTGTAGGCGATTGTTTTACCTCCCTTTCGGGGTTTAGGTAAGGGCAACAGTGTAAGGCTAACACTAAACCCTTAACCCTGATCCCTAAAACCTGAACCCTAAATCCTAAACCCTGAACCCTAAACCCTGGACCCTAGACCCTAAACCCTAAACCCTAAACCCTAAACCCTATAAACCCTAAACCCTAAACCCCAAGTCATCTGGGATCCTGTAAGCACACTTTCAGCCCGACCTTCTGAAGCCTCCA